GACCAGGAGCGGGCAGCTCAGGTCTGTAATCCCAGCACTTTGGGAGTCCAAGGCGGGCGGATCTCTTGAGGCCAGGAGTTCGAGACCAGCCTGGCCAACATGGTGAAACCATCTCTACTAAAAATACAAAAATTAGCCGGGGGTAGTGGTGCGTGCCTGTAATCCCAGCTGCTCTGGAGGCTAAGGCAGGAGAATCACTTGAACCTGGGAGGTGGAGGCTGTAGAGAGCCAAGATTGTGCCACAGCACTCCAGCCCAGGTGACAGAGTTGAGACTCCATCTCAAAAAATCAAAATGAAAATGGTAGCTGGTAAGAATTTCTTGGAAATTTGCCAGTTACCTAAGTATTTAAGAAGACACAGTAAAAAGAAAATTTAAAAAATAGCAAAATAAATAATAAAGACAACTATTCAAAAGATCCTGAAAGCTTCAAACACAAAGAATAATGTACTATACAGTAACAGGAATGAAACATTTAATATTTTAAAACAATTTTCCAAACTACAGATAAATTTCTTAGAGTTCTGTTTTATTAAATGCAATTCTGGTGTATTTAATTCTTTTTTCTGAAATAAGTTATATTCTAATTAAATAAATTTTACTAAAAAAATCTGAATTCAGCTATTGTTCACTAACCCTTAATAATTTTTAACATAAATGTAGACACAAATGTGCAATGAATTTATGTATTCATTGTGGACTACACTTTTAAATCCATTCCTTGCTCAGTGGTTTTTGAATGCTTATTAAGTATCATTGACATTATGCTGAGGAAAAGCTGTCATTCTAGGAAATTCACCACTTCTACCACTAGGTGGAGAAAAAACACAAGTAGTATCTGTAATCAAAGCTAGTACAAGGCCCCAGGTACTTTACCTAGAATTTCCACCAGGTGTCAACCAAGAGGGGGGGAAAAAGATAAGACTGTTTTTCCCACTTAAATATGCAAATTTATAATTTTACGCATAGCGATCTAAACTCTGAAATAAATGGCCTGCTCATTGTCTAGTTTGCATATTTATACTTTTTATATATTGCTGTTGAGTCCAAGATACTGCCTTGTCAACTAAAATCCAGCCCCCAAAAGCTTAGTTTCTTTTGAAATAAAGAAAACAGCAAGACCAATAAGTTTAGTTTATTGTGACTCATAGGCTCAACCTACCCAAATACACTACGCAAAAGAATCTAAAATGTTTAGACACGGACAGCCAAAAATCTTCCAAGGTATTTTTGTTCATACATATATAGAGAGAGAGAGATAGCACCAGATTCATATTTTTTCTTTCTACATTTCTCTTGTAAGGCAGTTCTGTTGATTGCCAGTAATCTAGATGAGTTTATGCTGTTATGCTCTGAATCCCAGTGTGATGTGACGAAAGCACTGCTATTTTTTACCAAACATTCACAATAAAAAGAGAAATGTACCTATATTTAAGATGTATCATGAGAATTACTACGTTAAATGGTCCAAGGCTCTTTCGGTCGAAAATTAAAGCTTCACAGTTAACCCCTATTTATATACCAAATCATGCTTTTTAAAAACAATTTTATTCGCTTCACTAATTTCTAACAAAGATTTTCCGATTCTGTTGCAAACAATATGTCAGCTAAACCACTGTCATATGCCTTTTATAAGGTGGTACTTTTTTAGGCCGAACTCTATTCTTATTCCTCTGGACACAGGAGTTGTAATCATGTCTTACTCTGCAAATCTAGCCGTAGGTGGTGTCTTAAAAAGGACTTTTTCTTCCTTCGAGGAAGTGGTCAAGCTTCCCCCCAGCCCCCACCCGTGTCATCCTGGAAACAACTTGGTTGTTTTTCGGTGCTATCTAATTAAGCGATGTAGGATTAAGAAGTTGAGGAGACAAAAAAGCCTATTGATTACATTGTACTTGCTTCTCTACCTCGCTCTTCAAAGGACTAAGGTTCCTTTGACCTCGACTGAGTTCATTTCCACCCTGCCTACAAAGTACTGGTTTAAAAAAAAAAAAAAATCCAAGCCAAGTATGCTCTTGTCTATGAACAATACTTCTTGTCCAGTTTTATTACGTTTTCTTTGAAAATTCGTTAGATTATGCTCAACAATCGGCCGCTTGCCCAACCGGTTTCTCCCTTCCCCCATCTCTCTTCACACATCACTTTTTCCTCCTCCCATCCAGGCAGTTGGTAAAACGCTGCAGTGCCAGTAACGCACGCTTTGGGGTGGTCACTGCAGTTTATCCTTACTTGGCTTTGCAAACTCCCCACCCAGGCCTTGTCCCCTCGCGCCCCACTCTGCCATTATCTTTCCAGTAGAGTGTGCTCGGTAAGGGGCTACAGATAGCACGTCGAGGGTATACGGCAGCCTGCCTACCAATAGGAGCCCACAATGAAGAGAAGTCAGGTTCAGCCGGCCGGCAGCTCCAGTATCTCCTTCCCCTAACTCTACACCTACTGTACCCGGGAGCGAGCGAGCAAGGGAGGGAGCGAGCGCAGCGCGCCGCGGCGCGGCGCGGCGCGGCGCGGGAGGGGACGCGCAGGGAGGGCGGACAGCAGCCGCGGCCTGCGCCTGCGCATTGGGGTTGTTTTTCACAAAGCTGCTCTTAAAGTGAGCTGGCAGCCTTTAGCCGCCCGTCTTTGTAAGGAGACCACTGAGACGAGCGGGAGCGCGGAGCAGCAGCTTCTGCTGCCCTGACTTTTTAAGAAATCTCAATGAACTATTTGTAGAGAATCACTGATCCGGCCTGCAAGCATTTTGCACGGCAAAAATATCGATCAGTGTTAAGTGAAGATCACATTTTATATGCGATCTTGACTTTTTTGTCTTACATTATATTTTTATAGATTTTGTTATAAACATGGTGCTGGGAAAGGTGAAGAGTTTGACAATAAGCTTTGACTGTCTTAATGACAGCAATGTCCCTGTGTATTCTAGTGGGGATACTGTCTCAGGAAGGGTAAATTTAGAAGTTACTGGGGAAATCAGAGTAAAATCTCTTAAAATTCATGCAAGAGGACATGCGAAAGTACGCTGGACTGAATCTAGAAACGCCGGCTCCAATACTGCCTATACACAGAATTACACTGAAGAAGTAGAATATTTCAACCATAAAGACATCTTAATTGGGCACGAAAGAGGTAAGTTTTTCTGTTATTCAGAAGTCATTGGACTCATTTTCTTTGGAAACGTACCTTTTCAGTTTTCTGAATTAACGTGATTCTACTCATAGTATAACTAAGCAGTTTGATAAAGGTTAGCAAAGTTGGAAGGTTTGGATTCTCCTTGACGTTCATCGTGTGTTAAGCTGTAATGCATGCAGGCATCTGCAAAGTGACTGCAAACTACACTTATTCAACTACCTCTATACCCGGGTTGGTCTGTGCCATACGCGCTTGTAGTCCATTTGCACCTTATAAATTCTGCTTGAATCCAATGCAATCGTTTTACTAATATATTTTCAAATGAATTGCTAAAAGCTGCAGTCTTAGATTTTTGCCCTTTTACTTGCAACCTAAGATGTAAAAACTGAACTTCAATCAAGAAATGTAATAACATTTTTAAGAGGCTTAATGGGCGTGTTTCATTTTTAATTTTGGAATGCAAAAGACTTTAAAGAATTGATCACTGTGCTTTCATAAAAGGTTTATGTGGCTTATTTTGACATATGGTATCAACACCCCACGTGTTTTTTCTCTATTCTTTCCCATTCCTTTAAAAATTTACACCCAGCATTCCTTATTTTAAAGGGTACTGTCTGTCATTATGATAGGTATCAAGTCAGTTTTAGAAGCCATTTAGGATCAGTAATTTTCTTTTCCGAGCATCATGTCTAACTTTGGAACGTGCATTCAATGAAACCCATGCCAGTCAAATGGAATTGAAAAGTATAGGGCACACTGGATTTGATTTTTGGTTAGAAGAGGGAGATAAAGGGTTGTCAAAGGGAGAAGGAGTCCTGAGATTTCCAATCTATTGTTTAAATGGTTACATTGTGGAAATATAGGAGAGTCTAGGCTTGTTTTTCTAAGTTTCCACCCTTTGTTAGAAGCGGTTCAATCCTGTTTCGGACCAGTTCTGGGGGGTGGTGAGGAGGGGCGCTTGTTCTGCTCTCAGCAGATTGGTTACACGCGTCAGGTGGTGGCGATGACTTAATTCCTAGCCCAAGAAGAATATAATGTTAAAACTGGTTATGTAATTTTTGTGCCTCTCCTTTTTAATGCAGTATTTAGTTCAGATGTTGGCGATTTTTCAGAAAAAAATTAGAGACATATTTTACCTTCTTTTTTATATTAAAAACGTACATCCTGGAGAGGTGCTGATGACTGAACTCAGGCAAGTGAGAAATGAAGGATGCTTTGAGGGGCAGTATTAATGTATGATTTCTGAAACTATTAAGGTGAACTCAGTTCTTTAGTAGGATTTTCGTAGATACGGGTACTTTGCATCCTGAAATAACTAATTAATGTCTCCAAGCGTTAACACTGATAGGAGATGCAGATGCCTAATGACAGTCTTGGTATTTGTTGAAAAGCAGATAGATGAGTTTGTGTTTCTACCTTTCTGAATATTGCAGCCTTTTATGAAATGGGTGAAAGAAACAGATTTTAATTCAAGAGGTTGAGACTTGCAATGGGGGAAAAGTAGAACAATGAGTTGTGAGGACAAATATAATTTCATTAGTTACACCATGATTTCATGGTAAAGAAAACTAAATGCCCTGCACCACCAACAAAATGCCCCCCAAACCCTGCAACGCGTAGACGAGCTCAGTCTGGAATAGTTTCAATGACTTGAAACTGGGAGCTCTCAAACTAGCCTGGTAACTGAGACCCCGCCCCGGGCGCCCGGGATAGGCGGAGCCAGGTTTGTTAGCCTGTTGCTAAGGCGATGGCAGGCGCTGATTGGATTGGGCGCGCGCGGGTGGGGAGAGGGGGCTCGCGCCGCTGCTGGGGCGAGGCTAGGAAATCGGCGTGCGCCGGTAAAGGTCCCTCCAGAGCCACCCCCACCCAGTCCATACTCACGTTTGTTCCCGGGCTTCTGGGGGCGCCCGGCCCGTGTCACATCACGTTCTATCGCCCCTCTTTTGGGCCTGCTAAGGACCATCGAAAGGAAACGACTTCAGGCTTTAGCTGAGTTGAGGGCAGACGCTCCTGCCGGCCTTACAGGTGCCGGATGGCCCGGGACCCAACTTTAGTGGAAAATCCTTTTCAGATGGAATTTGGATGGGAAGGGTTGGCAGGACCCCCGTTAGCTATCTTCCGGGTAGGAGGTGTCAGGGGACTCCTGTGAACGCTTCTGAAACAAAGCGTGTTCCCCGACCTCTCCAGTCGCCACACTGGCTACCTTGAGTTGAGCTGAGGGGACAGAGCAGAGGCTGGCCCGGGGAAGAAAGAAAATGATTCCAATATCGAAATCTGGGTGGGGGCTTCGAAGGGTATCCTCTGCCCCCTCCCCCATTGTTTTCCGAAAGCTTCAGGCCCCCGCCTCCCCTCGGCCGCCCCAGTTTCCCTAGCGGAAACTAAAGGTGTCAGAGTGGCCCGAGCCAGATCGAACCGGTCGCCGGCTGGGGCGTGTAAAGCGGAAGCGCCGCGGCTCGCTCGCCCCGCCCCTCGTCCAGCAGGCTAGGTTGTGCGGGCACGGGCGCGAGCGCCGCGCGACGTATGCCGTATGTATAGCGGGGCGCGCGGGCGGCGGCGGCGGCGCGCGAGCAGGCCGGCTGGGATCTGCTCGCGCCGGTTTAGGCCGGTCCTCTCCTGCTCCGGTCTAGTTCTTGATTGACAGCCCGGCACTTGTTTACCACGGCGCGGCCGCCGCCGCCGCCGCTCGCCTCAATGAGACTGCTGAGCTGGCACAAAAAGGGAGCGAAGAGGGAAGAAAGGGAGAGGAAGGCGAACTTTGGGCGCCTTCGAGGGGAGCGAATTTAAATGGCCCCCAGCTCATCAGCTAGTTTTTGGTTCTGAAATCTGTTCAGGGGATTTGCACAGGGGACGAGGAAAATTGTATGGAGACATAAGCGAATTACCGTGATTTTTAAATAAAAGTATCGACGTATACATGCTTTTCCCCCCTTTTCTCGTTTGATATCAGGGAGGCATCACGTTTTTTGTGTATATTCAATACTTTGCTGAAGGAAAGTTAAATAATATGCCAGTTTTTTCTACTCTGGGGGCTAATCGTAAAGGTTTCTACACCGAGAAAACTAGAAGATATTTCTGTAATTATTTAGAACGCTAAATAAGCATTTTAATTATCTAGAACCCCCTCCCATATTTTCGATTATATTTCTTTATTTTCATGCCACTTGAAAAACAAATTTGACCAAAAAAATTGGTTGTAAAATGAAAGGTCATTCCTTTTTTATAGAAACTGGAAACTGTTAATAATTAGACTTCATCTTCTTCAAGAATGTCCGACAATATTGTTTCCTTATAAGCAGGCACCTCCTAAATGCGGTTCTTGGTAATGATCTACGGTATAGTTTATGCAAATTTTAATCGTTGCTAGGACTGAGTGTTGTGATCACTTTAGGTCAATAAATAATTATTTTTAATTACAAAACTGACATTAAAATCAATGTGTGTGCCTTTTTTTTTTTTTTTTTTTTTTTTTACTCCATCTATTTGACAAAGTTTTCTAGTGGTTTTGGAGTATCTATTCTATTCACATCTTTGGCATTATTCCCCCTAAACTGACATATTTTTAAAAGGGTTGCACGAACAGTTTTTATTTGATACATTGTAGTCTTCATGCGATAAATTTAAGCAAACAGCTGGAGACAAAGATAACATTATCTTACCATGATGTGAGACCCGAGCCTTTTGAGTATATATACTATTTTATCAACAGATGCTTTACAGTTTGGGTCATTTTCCATTTAAAAAATAAAAGTCTGTGGGGTGTGCGTATTCATTATCCCCATTTTACAGATAAGGCAGCTGAAAACGGGATTTTTATTTCGTCCAGAGGAAATGATGAAGTTGGAATTAGAACTCGGCTCTCTCAGACTCCAAAGCTTGTTTTGTGGTCTTAATTATTATGTAAGCATCTTTAAAGTTATGCCACCCTGCGGAGTATGTAAATGTCAAATAATAAATTCTTTGTTTTCTTTTTATGTTTCTTTTAGATGATGATAATTCCGAAGAAGGCTTCCACACTATTCATTCAGGAAGGCATGAATATGCATTCAGCTTCGAGCTTCCACAGACGTAAGTATTATAAATAATAGGCATTTTTATACATACCCATGATCAGAGCATTACTTTAAAATTAAGTATTCTAAATTTAAATACTTTTAGTTAAAAAAAAAAAAAACCCTTTTCATGACTGGAACTTGCTAGAGGAAAACAATATATTAAACATAAGAAGCTATTTTTTAATCTACCGTGGCAAAATTATAGAAAGCATACTCAAATTTCAGTCTTCTATCCCAATGTTCATGAGGTTTTTAAAATAGGAATAGTGTTTCCTTTAACTAACATGAGTGAATTGGAAGGTGCTAGTCAAATAATAACCACTTTATACTTAGTTTATTATCAATTGTCATTATGAGAAAAGACCCTATCAAGTCTCAGTAGCTTCAATTTATAAAAAGTTCTGTGTTCCACCTTTTCTGCTAATACTAACCAATAACTAACCAATAGCAGTAAGCTTCAAAAGTAAAAATAATTAGGAATATCCTAACTTTAGAAATGTTGTTCTCCTGATATGAACTTAATAACTTCTGTACAAAGAATTATTGGGAAAGTCACACAAGAGATATGACCCAAGCTTAAAAGGAAAAATACATCAAGGATACGTTGATACAAAACTTGGAATCTAGTAAGAAAGGAAAAAGGAAAGTGGTGTATTCTTGAATTAATGACAGATTGTTGGAAGAGATTATACAAACTTTTTTTAAAAAAATAATGCCTTTTAGCAAATACTAAAACCTGCAAAATGGTACTTGTGCCGATTATTCTGGAGAATAAACAGATTACATAAGATTTTGTCAGGTGACAAATGTACATAATTCTACATTTGTTAATTCTAGTGCTTGAGATGTTATATAAAGAGAGAAGTCATAAGTGGTATTTTTTAGAAAATTCTATTTACTATATTATTTGAGAATTTTATTTGGAATATAATGCCCTCATCTAATTTCTGAGAAAAATATTAAAGTTTGTCAATAGAATAACACTAATATGGGGCCTGAGTATTTTCAGGGTCATTTAATGTTAAAGTTCTATCTGTAAACCAAAGTCATTTAACATAAACTTTGGATAATTATTAGCATACAGTTTAAGATTTTATTTCTCTGCTATATACAAGTTAATATGGGAGTCTAAAATGCAAAAAAAAAATGTGAAAACACCAGTGTTCCTTATACTAATCTAAGCTAGCACTCTTCCTTGTAACTAACTGAACACTGAGTATTTTACTAATGAAATTATGAAAAAGAGACTGAACTCGCTAAAATAAAACCTTTCACAAGTAAGATCTGACAGTTAAAAAAAAAATTTGATTCTCTTGACATAGATCAAGAGGACTATTTCTTTTTCTTTTGAAGCCTGTAAAGTTAGAGAACAGCCAAACAAGAATTAGAAAATGAGTAAACTGAGAGATACAAAAGTAGTTTTTCAGTAAACTTATGACATGTGAAATTTTTGAAACTATAATGACTATTCCAGGCCTTTTCTAGACCTTAATTAGTTGCTATAAAAAGATGATAATCTGACTAATGAGAAGTGGAGTACTATAGGGAATTTGGTCTGAATGTTTAACCAGTGTCTAGAATTTATCAGTAGAAATAGTTAAACCATTCTCAACTTTGTTTTTGAATTCTTGGCCTTTTCAAAAAATGTCCATTAAACTTTCATAATTTTGCCACCATCATTAAAAGTAGCCTCCTCTTAGTTTAAATGGATTGTATTCTTCTGGCTTTTTAAAGCAAAATTTTAAAGATATTTATTGTTTATTGTTACTTGGAAATAGAAAGTTTTTTCCCCAATGACTTATCCCTTTGGAAATTTTTTAAATTACATGTTTGATACCTCATTGGTACATAAACGATACAATATATTAACACTTCTATTCTGACCTACTGTGTAATTGTTAGAAAGAGGTATAAAATTAATATATTGACCTTTATATTCTGCACAGACCACTTGCTACCTCATTCGAAGGCCGACATGGCAGTGTGCGCTATTGGGTGAAAGCCGAATTGCACAGGCCTTGGCTACTACCAGTAAAATTAAAGAAGGAATTTACAGTCTTTGAGCATATAGATATCAACACTCCTTCATTACTGGTAAGAATTGACTGAATTATTCATTCTTTGTTTTTGGCATATAAATATTAAAGAATAATCAATCACCTAAACTATGCAATTGTCATAATTTAAAAATATTGGTTTTCTTTTAAAATTCCATATACATTTTCTTAAATACAGTCAAGAACACTGAAATTAATGAAAAATATGCTCATATTTTTGACATTGTAGTACCTTTAAGTAAATATGAAACTAAGACCAGTATATGATATGAAGTATCTCTTACTCACAATATGAGTAACAAAAGCCATAACAACAAACAGATCTGGTCCTTGGATGATTTGAGTGGAAGAAGGACAGTAGTATCTTTTATTGTAATACAATATCACTTAACTTGACAATATCATAATCTAAAATTTGTACTATACTTTGTTATTCCAATAGAGGGATAGTTGTCAAATAATGGGGAATCATTCGTTTCATAAAAAAAACTCCTTTTTTAAAAGAATCTATTTTTAATTGCATTTGTCTGAGAATAAATCAAATTTGACTTAAAACTGTATTTGGTTTAAACAAATGATAACATCTTTAAAGCAAATAAGAAATGAGCATTTTCCTTTTTTTACATTTTTTTTTATATTCTCAGAGAAAGATGTTAACATTTGGAATTATAGTCAGATTGCTTTCTGTGCTGCCTTTTTAAGGCAGTTTAAATGGAATGTGGAAAGGGTTTTTTTTATTTGGTTGGTTTTTCATTACTGTATTTGTAAATAGTGTGAACTAAAAAACTGTTTTGGGAAAGGCTGTACACCCTTTACCTTTTTTTTCTAATTGAATGGAAATTTATATAAAAATAAAAGTAATGGTATAATTCAAAACCATCGATTAGTTAAAAAATAAGAAGTATATCTGGATCCAAAAAAAAAGCAAAACCAGTTTTAATTTTTATTTTTCCACAAATTTAGGATTATATTTTAAAATATTCTGGTATTGATTGTACCAATCCATACACTGACCTTTTTCTCTAAATTGTTTTCTTACAGTCACCCCAAGCAGGCACAAAAGAAAAGACACTCTGTTGCTGGTTCTGTACCTCAGGCCCAATATCCTTAAGTGCCAAAATTGAAAGGAAGGGCTATACCCCAGGTATGTATGAGGTAGATTCCCACAAAAAGCTTTCTTCACTTAGCTTTTGTGTATAAATTTATAATATAACTATTAAATATCAACATAATATCGTATTCTTTTGTGAAATTACAAATTGTGCTTTTCCATTTGTTTTTTCACAAAATAGAATGTAGTTTCCTTTTTCAAATAGCTACTGATGAGTTCATTTCTATGACTCTTAAGTTATTTGCAGTTCCTAGGACACCTTTTCGTGCATGTTAGTTGCTCTTTCTTACTTTAGC